CGTTTTAATGTAGTCGCCATTCAATTGCAAATCTTTTCTCTACAAACTAATAGAGACAAACCGAAGCCTTATACACAATACATCGTTCCTTGGTACACACTGGAACAAACGCTGCCCTGTCTTTTCAAGCAACAAGTGATAGACTTGTTCAATTACGTAACCTCAAATTAGATAGTCTGGAAATAACTTTATTTTCGTACTGTTAACTCCAGTGATTATATTGTCAGTGAATCGAGTCATGTATGACCTCAACCAAGCCATTCGCTCGCTTTCCGCCCTCAGATTAAATTAAGTAACTCTCCACGCTCCGGTGTAACCCAAACGTTCAACCTCGGAAGCAATATTATTATATATATATTTTTTTTAGTGTTCTGTCTGACGACAGGTCCATATGAACAGGATCCTTCCATCCTTTTCTCGGACTGGGACCTGTTCATATACGTTCTTGGCAGATGATCCAGAAGTGGTTTGCCATTGCCTTCTTCTGTGTGTGAATGAAGTAATTGTTGGATGCCACGGAGAAACCGGGGAAGCCCCCGGAGGAAAACTCCGTGTTGCCTAGACCACGGCCTTGCCCAACATAAGTTATAAATTCGGGCACCGCCGAGAATCGAACCCGAGACCCCCAGGATTACAAGGCCAGCGTTCTAACCGCTAGACCACCGTGGCATAGCAGAGTTGCACAGTTTTCTCAAACACATTTTTGGTGTGTTGTTTTTATTAAGTATTCACTTAAGATTAAATATTTCGTTTAAGCGGCAAGCATATTTTCATTATGCTAGGTGATACTTTATAACTGAAATGTATGCAAACCGCACACAACACATCGGCGTGTCGCACGCGGGCCGTAGGTTCGTAATCCGTTGATCTAAATGTTACACTCCCACCTTGTTTTATGTATTCCTAAAGTAAGCGACACGAACGAAAGCAGGCTGGCGAGTAGAGGGAGAGGATATACAAATTTCTATGTTTTTTAAGCAACTGAATACTTTATACACCAACTCCCTGGACTGCTCGTGTAAAACCTGAATTCGTGTTTTAATACATCAATTGTATATCTGATGCTGAATACCAATAATTTGCTTTACGATCTTCATATTAACAACAATTAATTAATATTGGAACGTAGTTGAACCAACTGAGGAAAATATTGTTACATTTTGACAAGCGCCACGTAACAACAGCGATGCTTGTCCGTCGTCCGAGTGTTGTGAACCTTGGCGGAGTGCTGGATCTTTTTTGATACTCTAGCACGAGAAATAAGACATGCGGAGAATCAAACAAGATACATAAAAACTTCCCCTTGATGTGACTAATTTTTCATTCGATACCCTGACTTTATTTCTTCTGTTGTATAATACAAGAATAATTTGTATGTCGATTATTTACACATAATTTCACGTAAAACATTTATTTTCTTTTTTTAGAGGGCATTATGGCATGGTACAGTTGGTGAGTCTGACAGGCAGCCATTAGAAGATGAGAAAGTAAAGGCATGGCCGCCTTGTGTTCGCTTTTGGGCTTGCTCAGTCGGAGGGCGCTGATAGGTTTGTGTTCAGCTGCGTAAACGGTTCAAGTCACAAGATGTTGTTTGCACGAAGACCATAAAGCTTCTATGCAAAGTGTAGTGTATCTTCTGCTGAATAATCTTACTGGAAGTAGATTTGATGGTACTCGGTAATATAATAGTCTGCTTAGCATGATTATTAATTAGCTGTCAACAGTAATGCAGTCCTATCTGATATATATGGACGTCAAAACCAATTTCGGATAAAATTCTGAATAACGTATTTGGAAACTATGTGCACCTTTCGACTCTGCTTCGTCATGGTTACGTATGGAACTAAGACTTTTTTTGCAGATTCAGCCTATTTGTGTAACTAGTGTCTAAATTAGTTGGCTGTTTATATTAATATCTAAGAAATATCTTTTAGACACATTTCCATGTTAGAATGGCTGGGTATCTAACATTTAAGTCTACTCTTTAAAGACTATATTTCAGACAAAGTGAGCTAAGAGATTTTTGTCTTGGTACATTAACGCGTATCTCGGTGACACGAATTTTGGTATTACGGTGCGGAGAAATGCGTGAAATCTGATCTGCAGTCAAAAAATATTTTTTTAAAAAATGCTGCTGGTAGAAGGTTGCAGAGATACGGCTTGGGTTAACACAACAAAGGCGTCGCCAGAAGGCTTCCTCTCTCAGTTACTTTGTCTTCTTGTCTGTATATCAAGTATAGAAGTGAACGATCTGTAGGAAGGTGCTGATGTATCCCAATTTTTCTTTAAGAAAGCAAGTGTCAGAGTAAGGTGGACAACATTCCAGGAAAGTGCATCAAAACGAGGGGAGGTTCACGCTCCGAGGTGAGATGTGTACTCACTGCAGCGGCTTGGTGTGCTTTCATGTTTCTTTCTTATCTTCTTTACGGTTACCTTACACCATATTTAAAGTCAATTAACTTTTTTTTACTGACCTGACTTGTCCTTTGCGACTGCGGGTTGGTTGAAAGAATTTTCCAAAGGTTGCGACCCGCTGAGACGAATTATATTATAGAAATTGTGTGGAATTTGTCAGAAGTAGATTTGGATTCCTGGTGTTGTAATCGGAAAAATACACCTACCAAAACAGGTATTATTACTTCTTAACAACTAAAAGCCATTGGACTCCTGTGCTTTGTAGAATACAAGGCACTGATAGTAGGATATTTTTTTTATTTACATGCTGCGTATTTAATTACTTTACATAGTCTTTGAACGTTTTCTGCCGGGTTCTAGAATCATACAGATCAAGTCAATTTTCTGGTCTGAAAATTCCCTACTAGAATATTACACAAATGCATCTAACGCCATGAAGACAGTCCTTCTTCAAAAGCTCAGTCAAGAAATTCTCCGTCTTTTATGGAACTCGAAGGTTTATTACCTTTTTTTTCATTTCGTAACATGCTGGTTTATTTTACGGCAGGGAGTTGATAGTGTACCCAACACCCAAACATAAAGAAATAAGACGATACCAAAGCAGGCACTGGAATACAAACCATTGCCAGTTCACTGTGTCGAAAACGGCTAAACTCCTGAGGTAAATATGGTTACACCATGTGAGACTAGAGCTCGTGTAATCCTCCGTGGTTTAAGGCGATGGTGATAATGATGATGATTATGATATTTACGAGTAGGAGAATGTTTTTTGATGTGAGTTACATCGAAAAAGAAACATTTCTGTACAGTTAACAATTAATTGCAGTTCATTGTGATCGTTGTAAAGGGACACTGAAAATTATACTGCTATTGACATTACCAAATAAAAACTAATTACATGGAGCAGAGTCCTTGAAAAAGCGACAGTCGCTCAAGTGGTTAGGGCATTTTTTTCTGCTTTTATATAACGCGAAGTTTCACGAAGCCCGCCAGTGTATCCTGTTTCAAACTTTCTGAATCCAGTCCACTGCTTCATACGTCAGTTCCTTAAGATTCACTTTAATATTATCTTCCCATCTATGCCTAGGTAGCCTTTACCCTTTCCGGCTTTCCGACTACAATTTTATATGCATTTCCAGCTCCCTGTGCCCCTCTAAACGTTCTCGATTCGATCATCATCATAATAATACCTTGTGCAGGTAGCACGCTACCAAGTGCGTAATTTACTGTGTTCAGTTTAGGGGTGCGGTGTAACTGGAATTCTGGTTCAGCGTCATGTCTTGTTTTGGTCAAGTTTAGATTTCCCTTAACTTAAACCGTCGCTATTTGACAGTTACAATTTCCAGAATATGAAGCGAAGTAGGATCGTTGGCGGCGTCGTCGTGTGCCGGCTGCTGATTTACGGCTTCAACACGCGGCAAGAAACCTGGGCCCCCCCGCTGTTGAGTTATAGCACCTCAGCGCGCAGGAGGCTGGCTGGATGCGGTCCGATACCAGCTGTAAGCCTACTTACCGATCGATTCTTTATTAACAGTCAAACAGGAGTTTCTTATTATCGTTCTTGTATAATTATCTCATCTTCAGGATCTGCGAACATTTGTACGTCAAGTATTATTTGAACATTGTCGGGCCCAGCATTTATCACTTACAAATTTCAAAGCCTTTACGTAACAGTCAATATATGGACATTTGGTTTGAGGCTTGTAGTGCAGATATAAAGGTCTAGTATATTACGGAGTACTGATGAGGCAGCAGTCATCTCTGAAACGTCGACAAACTT